CCTCTTTTCCTCTGATCCTACTTTTTACCATCCATGGCGTCCCTCTCCTGAAACTAGCTGTTTCTGATAACATGAGCAGAGATAGATGAAATGAGGTCTTCCTATCCTCATTTCTAACAAGCATTATAAATGTAAGACAGATTTCTTTGTTTTTCTGATAGTCCCTGATATCAAGGCTAATCATAGCACAAAGGTTAAATGCTCAAAATATGGGTGATGTTTTGTTTTTATTAAATCAACGTCGGCATTACCTGAAAATTAGAAAGGTAAGTTGAGGCTTGAATACTAGAAATGTCAAGGGAATGAAACTCAGGGAAAGTCCAGGGCTCCCTAGACTAACCTGGGTAGAGTCTTTTGTCTCTTTTATTTACTCCCCAAAGAGAAGGAGATCCTAAAGTGCTCAGAAAGCTCAGATAGAAAGTCTAATCACAAAGATTGCTTTAACTTCTAAACTTAGCAGGAAGGAAAAGTCAGCCTTCAAGGAGCTACGTACTTTTACACCAAATAAAAAATGAGGCACCAGAAAAGTTCAATCTTTGAGTATGAAAAAAACAGATAACCATTCACTACTTGAACACAATGAGTTCAAGTTACTTGAATAAGCAAAGCAAGGTTAGTGAGTAAGAAAACCACAATTCAACCAAAAAGTGAATAAGTCGAAAGTTAAAATAAAGACATCTATTTGCCTAGGTTGTTAGCTGTCATTAGGTCACCTTTGATCCATGGCAACTTTATGCACAAAGAACACACATTACTTGGTCTTACATCATCCTACAATAGGTAGCAGATCTGACCACAGTGATCCATGTGCCTTTCATTGTATCATTTTTACAAGAAGATTGCTAGGCCTTTCTTCCTACTAAGTCTACTCAGGAATCTTCATTGAAACCCATTCAACATGAGAGCAACACGCAATCTTCCACTGACAGAGGAGTAATCAGCCATCAGCTTTGCATGTTCTGTGCCCTGTTGCAGGTATTCATAAACTTAGACAATAGAAAGTATATACTGGAGTCCTGTTTCAGTTTCCTCAGTTTCAGCAAGCAAGATTGTGTCATCTGCATAATGGAGGCTATTGATGAGTCTCTCTCCAATTTTGATGCCACATTTCCCTTCATAGAGTTCAGCTTCTCAAATAATGTGCTCAACATATAGATTGAATAGGTATGGAGAGAGAATACAACCCTGACCCGCTCTGTTCTTAACTTTAAAACCATGCAGTATTCCCCTGCTCTGTTTGCACAACAGCCTTCTTGTCCATATACAAGAGCACAATCAAGTGATCTAGGATTCCTATTCTTCTCAATGAAGCCTGCTGACCTGAAAGCTTGCCCTGAAGTCAGACTCTAGGCCTCTTGTGCTTCCATGCTGTAAATTAGAATTCTGTACCAAAGTCTATACCATGGAACAGGCCTTTTCCATGATGAATCAGTCAGGAGTAAGACATAACGGGTGAGGGGTAGAATGGGGACAGAGAATTTAGATAAAATATGAATCTGAATGGGAAAGACAAAAGGTAACAGTAGGAGTGTCATGAACCAGCCCCATCTCTCCTTTCTCTCCCATCCCCAGTAGAAATATTAGCTCTGACCATATTCTGGGGCGCCTTTGAACAGATTTTAATTGCCAGTCTTTCAGCTACAATTAAAAAGGTCAGAAGTTTCATCCTGGAATATCAACGATGAAAGCTTACCAATACCCTGAGCTTGGTTTACACCATGCTATCTATAGAATACTTTCCCCCTTCTAAACCCATCTTGAACTTCTGGTAGTTCTGTCAATGAACTATTCTAGTCTTTTTTGGGTACTCTTTAGCAATATTTTATTTGCATAGGATATTAATGATTTGTTGTTGTTGTTATGTACCATCGAGTCGCTTGCAACTCATAGCGACCCTATGTACAGAGCTCTAAACACTGTTCTGTCCTGTGCCAAACTCGCCATCTCAAATGCACTTAATCCCACCACTCCAGTCACAGAATTGATCTATCTCATCGAAGGTCTTCCTCTCCTGTGCCGTCCCTCCACTCTGCCAAACATGATGTCCCTCTCCAAGGACCTCCTCCTTGCAACATGCCCAAAGTATGTCAGATGAAGTTTCAGAATCCTTGATTCCAAGGAGCATTCCGGCTTTACCTTCTCCAGGCCAAACCTGTTTGTTTTCCTTGCAGTCCATGGTATATTCAATACTCTTCTCTAGCACCACAGCTCAAAGGCATCAATTCTCCTTCTATCATGCCTATTCACCATCCAACTCTCTGATGCATAGCATGTAACTGTGAAGACTATAGCCTGGATCAGGCGCACCTTAGTCTCCAGCCTGACGTTGTTGCTCTCCAGTACTCTTGAGAGGTCCCTCACAGCAGACTTTCCCAATGCAATTCGTCTCTTGCCTTCCTGGCTGCTGTTACCAAGAGTGTTGATTGTGGAGCCAAGTAAACTAAAACTGTTAACTATCTCAATCTCTTCACCAACCATACTGATGCTGCCAGTTGGCCCAGTGGTGAGAATCTTTGTTTTCTTGATGTTGAGCTTCAGTCCATATAGGAGGCTGCAATCCTTGACCTTCTGCAGCAAGTGTTTCAGGTCCTCCTCAGTTTCAGCAAGCAGTGTAGTGTCATCTGCATAACAGGTTGTTGATGACTCTTCCACCAATCGTGATGCCACATTCCTCCTCATACAGCCCAGTGTCTTGGATGATCTATTCTGCATACAGATTGAAAAGGTATGGAGACAGAATACATCCCTGACGAACCCCCTTCTTGATTTTGAACCATGTAGTGTCTCCCTGCTCTGTTCTGATGACTGCCTCTTGGTCCAAGTATAGGTTTTGCATTAGCACAATCAAATGTTCTGGGATTCCCCTTCTTCTCAGAATCAGCCGCAGCTTGTTGTGATCCTGTTTGCTAATTTCCACCTTGTGTTGGATCTCCTTTCTTGGGAACAGTAACAAACATGGATCTCTTCTTGGCCAATCATCTGTCCTGCATATTTCTTCACACAGACTGGTGAGCACGTCCAGAGCTGCATCTCTTAGGTCAACTGGTATTCCATTGATTCCTGGGGCTTTATTTTTTGGGGAGGGGGTAAAAAACTTCAGGCAGAGGCACTTCTTGGCCTTACATCCAAGAATGGCAAAGCTTCCTTTCACATATTTTGAGCATGTTTGTAGGAGAGGCTCTTCCTGGGAAAGGGAGAGATGTCATGCTTTGAAAAATGGAGTCAGTGAAAGAGGAAGACCATCAATGAGATGCACCCACAGTGATTGCAGCAATGGGTTCAAGTGTTTCAGAGATGATGAGGATGGCACAGGACAGGGTTCAGATCTTGTTCACAGGGTCATACTATGAGTCATACTTGACTTGACAGCACTTAATAACAGAGGATACCTTAAGAAAGGGGCCAAACATATTTGTCTGTATTCCATGCAAGCCCATCAGCCACTATCATAGCCCTAAAGCAGTGCCTTGTACAAAAGCAGAGAGGTCACACCTGTTTGAGTCTCAAAGCTGCAGCAAATCAAAGGCTGGGTCCTCCTATAGGTCACCTTGCTTTACTAGTATCACCTAGCATTTTCAAAAACTTCCCAGCTGCGATAGTCCCCACCTGTTTTCACAGTCAGAGTTTATTCCATTAGCAAAAGTAAATAAGAAAAGGCATGAAGAGGAATCATAATAGGGAAATCTGATACCACACTTTTGAGCATGGAGGGTTCATGACCCAAAGAATTCAATTATTGCCTATTAGCTTGTTTTGTGAATGCAAAGTATCAATTTCAGGATCACAGTAATAGGTGTGCACAGCATCAAAGCAGCTACAGATACCCACAAGGGAAGGACCTTGTCTTACAAGGACATTCCCTATAGATGAGTCACAGTTTTCTTTCAGCCAGAGACACCACTCTGCACAGAAATGGTTTCATGAAACACACCTACCCCTTCCCTTCTGCACTGCTGTGTGCCATCCAGTCAGTCTGACTCACAGTGACCCACATGACGGAGTAGAAATGCCCCACTGGATTTTGTAGGCTGTAATCATTACAGGAACAGAGTACTAGGTCTTTTCTCCCCCCGAAGATATCAGTAGGTTCAAACTGCCAATCTTTCATTTAACAGAAAAGTAATCAATCACTGTACCACTAGTGCTCCTTTCTGCTGAATTCCACAGGGGCAATGCTCATGCATCTCTCCAAGAGGACTGGCCCCACCACACTGCCCAGAACAGTCTTCAACTCACATATAATCCTTTCTCCCACTGCTGAGTCCACCTCCACTTTAGTTGCATTCAAGTGGATTCCAACTCATTGACTCCATGCATGTCAAAGCAGAATGGTGCTCCATAGGGCTTTCAGTGGCCGATTTTCCTGACGTAGATGGCCAGGCTTTTCTTCCGAGGAGCCTCTGGATGGGCTGGAATGGCCAACCTTTTGGTTAGCAGCTAAGCACAGTAATGGTTTGTACCATGCAGGGATTTAGGACTGAAGGGGCTAAGAAAAGTATCAGACAAATATCTGACTACTTGTAACTCATATATAACCGCAGGAGATGTGTTTGAATTGAATTTTTGTATGGACTCTAAAGTAAACGCTTCAAGGTTATTAGGACTAGGCCTATCCTGCTCTGAACTGGCATGGAATGAACAAAAAAGATAAGATACCTAAATATTTACATATGTAAATATATCAAACACATCGTATACCACATACACTCACACGCTCAATTACTACATCACAATCATACATATGCCATTGCCATTACCACACACATACACACATACCCCTCATGCAATGTACAACACACATATGACACCACACAGAGTCACAGTCACAGAGCACAGACTCACACACTATATACAACACACTCACAGATAATACATGCACATTCCCAGCCTTAAAATGAAAACAGTCATATCGTGGATTTGCTCCCATTTATTTTGAGGTAACTCAATTCAAGGGGTGCCCTGATCCCTGCTTCTCACCATGCTCTTTATCTATCACTTACCTCTCGGTGTCAAAGTATGAGTCTATGAAAGGATGAGGGGCCCCTGCCACAGCAAAGTTACTGCTTCCGGTGTCAACGAGGATCTGCAGCTATTTTTAGTAGGGAGAAAAAAGAAAAACAAAACAAAAAAACAATCAAGTTATCTGAACCAAGCAATAGTGTTAAATAAGTTTCAAAACAAAGTACCCAAATGGAGACTTTTACATCAAAGTTTATGGCAGCATTATTCACTATCACAAGAACGTGGAAACAGCCCAAATGTCCAACCACAATTGAATGGATTGAGAAATTATGGTACATTCACATGATGCAGCACACAGGAGCAATGATTTTGTAGCTCACTACCTAAGTTGG